GGGAAGGGGGCAGGACCCTTTCCAGGCCTATATTGGCCTTTCAGGGAGGGATCCTTAGGGCCAAACCTGACAAGGGTTGCCAGTGCCAGGCTGGGAAATTCCTAGAGATTTTGTGGTGCAGTCTAAGGAGGGCTGGGTTTGGCGAAGGGAAAGGCCTCAGCTGGATATAATGCCACAGAGTCCAGCCTCCAAAACTGCCATTTCCTCCAGGGAGACAGATCTCTGCTGTCTAGAGTTCAGTTGTAATTTGGGGGGGGATCTCCAGGCTCCACCTGGAGGCTGTGGAAACTCGAGCTGCAGTGTTAGAAGAGTCAAACAACAAATATATACACTGCAAAAACCTTATTTTATAAGTTAAAGTGTTCTATGTGTTCCATCTTATAAAGTGCATTGCTGGCTATGCGCTGTAACAATAAAATTCATTCATTCATTCAAGTGCATTGTGCATTATTCATAATATTCTGAAACAGGTATATGTTCATCACATGAAATATCAACAATAATAATCACTTTGTACAATCTAATAGCTACCAGTCAATTTACATCCTTTTTACACAATCAACCCCAACGGGAGTTTCTAGAATTGTACACCCGCTTCTCCTACAAAAGGCCCATTAAGCAGCTGACAATCATAGACGGAGCCTATGGTTCCGGTGGCCAACTGGACGGTGGGGGAACCCCACCCCCAAGAGCAGTAGCCACCCATGCTATCCCTCTCCCTTCCGCAGAGATTTAAAGGGCTTCAACTGATCGGCAGGGAGCACGTGGTTGGCCAATCAGCTGGAGGGGCCCTAAAAATCTTTCAGTAGGGAGGGAGAGGGGCTGTCGCCAGCTGCAGCTCCTTTTGTAGAAAGACCCTTTGAAGACCCCGCGGTAGCGCGCAGGCCTGAATCCCAAGCGGCAGGTTTTTGCAAGTGGAGCTGCGGCTGGCGACAGCCCCTCTCCCTCCCTGCTGAAAGATTCAAAGGGCCCTCCAGCTGATTAGCAGGCCACGTGTTCCCCACCTATCAGCTGAAGCCCTTTAAATCTCTGCAGGAAGGGAGGGAGAGGGGTGGTCGTGGGTGGTCATGGCTTGGGGGCGGGGCTTGGGGGCATCCCTGACCCCCTGGAATGCTTCCCAAATCCTCCCACTGGAATGATGAGGGGACTTGGCAACCCTAGAAGAGAAGAAGAAGAGATTGGATTTATACCATGCCCTTCACTACCCAAAGGTGTCTCAGAGCGGCTTACAAACTCCTCTCCCTTCCTCTCCCCACAACAAACACCCTGTGAGGTAGGTGGGGCTAAGAGAGCTCTGACAGAAATGGCTCTTTTTCAAGAACAGCTCTTATCAGTACTATGGCTTGCCCAAGGTCACCCAGCAGGTGCAAGCGGAGGAGTGGGGAATCAAACCCGGTTCTCCCAGATTAGAGTCCGCGCACTTAACCACGACACCCTAGTCCATGATCACCCCCAAGCTCCTAACTTACTCTAAAAATGCCTACTTGACTTCATTCAAGACAAGGGGATCCAATCCTTCTAACACATTGGCCTTTTGTCGGATTATTAGGGGAGAGGCATGATCGTGCTCTTCACATACCTGAAGGGCTGTCACAAGGAACTGCTGGAGAAGGCAAGACTGGTTGTGACGGGGTGAAGTTGGACTATAAAAGAAATGTCCCAACAAAGCAGACAGACAGTGATCCAATCACCTGAGTGGGGAGCTACTCCCGAACTGGAGGTCTAGTACTCCTTAGAACCAGTCTATGTAACTATTTTGAGCGAGAATCAGTTGGCTCTGGCATAGCAGCTGTGGTGGCTGACTGAAAAGGGGGGTTTGTTAAAGAAATAAAAGGTCCTGAGGAGGAAAAAGAAGTGTCTTGCTAACTAGTGATGTGGAAGGTATCCCAAGGTTAGGGAGCACCATGGCAGGAGACAAGAGGGCAGTTAGAGGAAGAAACCAGTGGGAGTGAAAAGTAACTGTGTTTGCGCAGTTTGTGGGAGCAAGAGGGTGGTAGAGAAGATCTAGTTAGCATTTCGTAGAAAAAGAGGTGCAGGAGCTCATTAGCATAGCTCATTAGCATAACTTATTTGCATAGGCCACACACCCTGACATCACTGGAAGTGTGTCAGAAGGCAACACCCACCGCTCAGGCTCCACTGGACCGTTTTGGATTGCTAGCTATTGGGGGGGGGGGAACGTGCAGATCTGTCCTCGCAGAGGAGGGAGAGCTCGTACCTGAATAAGACTTGGTTTTAAAGGTGCCACTGGACTGTTTTGGACCGGGGGGGCGGGGGGAGCTCTGCAACGTGCCTGGCTGCTTCTTGCTCTGACTGAGGGCTGCTGGGAGCAGGGGGTGGGGCTTGTTGCATGTGCCTGCCCCCTGGGCTCTTTACTGCCGGAGCTCCGCTTTTGTGTGCTCCTGCAGGAAATTACCCCTGGTTAGCACGAAGGTCGAGAAGTATGAAACTGGAGTCTAATACTGAATGGGGAAGGGGCTAGGGCTGCCAAGTCCCCCTGGGGGGCAGAAATCCCCCTGCCGCAGAGGCCCGTTCCCCGACGTCGGGGAATCGGGGCCCAGGGGGAACCCCGCCCCAGTGTGCACGTCACAGGGAACTGACGTTATGACGCCAGGCACGCTGGGGGTGGGGCCACGGCCATACAAGGGAAAACGCTATGGTTTTCCCTTGTATCGTCATGGCCCCGCCCCCAGCGTGCCCGGCATCATGACGTCACTTCCCTGTGATGTGCATGCGGAGCGCGTGCGCTTCGCGCGCGCCGGGATGCAAATGGGAGTCCCCCACCGGCAGGGTAAGTGCCACTTGGCAACCCTGGGGGGGTGGAAACTGGAGAGAAGATGCCTCTGCCGTCCTACCTTTCTTTCTCTTCACACTCTACATTACGGTGGTCTGTAATTCTGCTTCATCTCACAGTCCAATCTGGTTTTTTTACAGGTCCAAGCCGTCGCTTTAAGAGGGTAGTAGAAACCATTCAGGCACAGTTGTTAAGCACACACGACCAGCCTTCAGTTCAGCAGTTATCAGGTAAGTAGCTTCCACAGCTCAGCGCTTTGCTTCGGGCAAGGACGTGAATTGGAAGCACCTCTCAGCATAGCCCTCGCCTCTCACCTAAAGCCTGGTTTCATCCAGACCAAGTAGGAAGACTCTTCCTCACATCCTTCCTCTGCCATTTGCTCCACTCCCACCTACCTCGCGCAGTTCCCATTCCCCCAAATGCATCACCCAATGTAAACAGCCCCGCCCCGCCCCAAGAGCCATTTGTCACCTTTCACAGGAAGTGTCATCAGCAGTTTATGTAACTCCAAACCCTCCCAATACTTGGGAGATGCTTTTAAATGTATTAGATGAAAGAGTCCTCTGTGGTTTTAAAAGCAAAAAAAATAATTCTATTTTGGGTCCTGGTGGAAAGGATTCCTTTTGGCAGCTGGGAGTAGCTGGAAGTCTAGAACAAGAGTGATGTTTTGAGGTCACTAGCTCTGAAGAAGCATTCTAATCAGTCCTCTGTGAGACAATTAAAAAGTACTCCTATATGTGCCAGAATTATATCAGATTCTGTAAGCAAAGTACTTTGGTAGAACCCTTCAGATCTTTTCTGTTAATAAGTGGGAACCTTCTCTAAACGCTCTACTGGTAAAGTCACGTTCTAGCAGATTCCCACACATGCCCCGTGCTTCTGTGAGTCACTAGAAGGAGTTAGAGTTGGTACTTCCAAGTAGACCCAAAACACAGTTGATCCAAAACTCAGAACGAGAATGTCTGATCAGCCATAGTGCTCTCAGACATGGCAACTACAGACATCTGGCTAGCATAGAAAAGAAGGAATGTCTAAAGTATGAAACAGAGAAAAGAGAATCAAAGTGGATTCTGATGACACAGCACGGCACGAAGACTGCTTATACAATTACTGTGCAGCGGGGGCATGCAGATAGAAAGCTAGTAATTGTCCATCCATAGAAGTTGTCCTGACCGTGCTTTTGCTATCTCCAGATCTTCATTTGGCTCAGTCCCTATAGAAAACAAGGTTTCCGTTGGTAAGCGGCTTACGCATGGTGATATTTATAAGCCGCCGACATCCAGTGCAATTTCACACTCGAACAGACCTGTGATTGGATGGAAGTCTTAACGTGAAACATTTATTTTGCATGTGGCTGTAACTTAAAAATTTATGGAAGTCCAGGTTTTGGAAGAGGTGAAAACATAGAAGGAACTATGGCATCCAAATGGGGTGGTTTCAAAAGGCGCAGCTCACTGACTAGTTTGAGGCGCGGCAGGAGTAATGGGGAGGGAAGACCAGGATCAGTAAATGTTGTGACGATTGTAGCATAGTAGCCACCTTTTTGTTTCCTGGCACCAAGGTGATGTTCAACCATTCAGCTTAGCTGAACATCTTTCTTAATGCGGAAAACTCAGAACCAAGATGAATTCTACGGCAAAGAGTTGCTTACTTCAAAAGCAGCCTCAGTCAAAATCAATGTTCGCTTAATCTGTCATTGACAGATTAAAGTGCAAAGTGTTTCCGGTCCCTGGAGAGGTTCAAATAGCCTAACTGCTAACAAAATAGTGTCCCCCATCTTTCAGTTCAGGTACCACCACAGGTGAGTGACTGGAGGCCCCTGTGAACAAACCTGTGAGAGGGGTGTGTGCATATGATGCAATACATTGCAACGCATATGCCCTACAGTGGGGCCACCCATCTGTGAACACGTCTCAAGCGCCATCACAGCCAGCAAGGACTTGTGGCTTTGTGGATGTGATGATTATTACCTCTCTGACCTTGCTTGGTCTGCTGACTATGGACTAGCCCATTAAACTGGCTTGCCTGGGTTTCAGAACAAGACTGTTTTCTGTCGTCTCTCATTCTTTGCAAGTTCACACCACCGTTGATAGACATTGCACCGTTTCTTTGTTGCGTGTGTGTGTATCTCATGTCGAGCGGTGTACTCCTATGTCTCACCAGTACATCCCCGT